GAACGACCATACTGTTGCATCTGGGCGCGCCCAACATGACGTTTTCCGGTTCGTCGCGCAAGAAAATTCAGCCCCTGGGCCGAACTCCGCGACGAAGAGGATGCCGAAATCAAACCATGCGTTTTCGAAAAGCTTTCGACGAGACGGTTCCAACGCCGCCATCTTCACCACCATCGCTGCTGTAATCGAGCTTTAGTCTAGGAGGGCTAGGGTTAGGGTTAGGGTTAGGAATAGGATTAGGGTTAGGATTAGTATGTGGTGTACTGTTATGGTATTTGGAGGTAGACAACAAGTGATCGTGGTTGATCATGGTTATTTGGCGCCGTCGGATGATAAGACGTGACGTCATGCTAGATCAGGGCTTATGCCGAGACATGTGCCCTTCTGTTCAGTGTGTGCGTACAGGCGATCTATGATCGTGTGTGCGCGGGATATTGTGAATTGGTTTGGAAATCGTTAATCAAGAGAAAGAGAACAACGGAAAGCAACAACAACCTGCTACTGTGGTCGGACAAGAGAAGTTCCACACAGCTCAAAGGTGATTGATTCTGAAGGAAGGGGTCAAATACCATTACAGTACCCTCTACGGTAGGCAAACGCCTCACCTCGGGCGTCAAATCCTCGAAGCGGTAGATGTTGTCCAGCAGACGGTCGTGGTCGGCGTCCTTCACACACCCGAGGGACATGATGCCCTGGGGGGGGCCGTGGTCGCTGTCGCCGACGGAGCTTGTCCTGAGCAGTCCGTTGGGACCCTGGATGGAGATGTTCTTGTACTCCACCTCCCCGTCGGCGACCTTCGGAGGAGGGATAGAACGATTGGTTATTGACGGATTAGAGCGGCGGTCGAGGGAGGATTAAGCGGAGTTCGTTTCAAGCGCGCCCACGAGAATTTCTAGTCTCCTGCCTTAAGACGAAGCGAGCTGATCCAACATCAAGAAAAACATTAACCAGGAACTCCCGTCAAGTCCTGTCTAACATCCTTGGATACGTTGGCCCATATTGAAAAAGTGCGACTGCAACAGACCTCACACGGAGAGTACATGCCAAAATAGCTGTTCCGTATTTTTCGGCAAGGTTTGTATTGTTTGTCACCAATCAGCAGCAGCAGAACTTTTTTTTCCGTGATCATATGATAAATTTTCAGGTGGAACAAACATCACGCGAGCAACTTGACCGTTCGCAGCGTCTCGGGCACATCAAAGCTGCCAAGCCGTCCAAAGACCGCGCACTGCCCATGAATGTCCTGCCCTACGAGCGCCCCACCTTGTTCTTGATGTGGTAGAGGCCGAGCTTGAACATGATCGTGTCGGCGTCGTCGTTCCAGGCGACGGGCTTGTAGCTGGAAGGCCACACCGCCTTACCCTCCACCGCGCCCGAGAAGTAGACCTTGGTTGCGATAGGGTTAGGGTAAGGGTAAGGGTATCCCCAGAGACAGGCGAGGCGGGCGGTGTAGCGAGTCTCGCCTCAAGTTGTCGCTGTATCAAATTGAGCCCTTACGAAAGGGTAAACCATTGTTATGAATTTCCCAAAGATATTTTTGGCAACACTCTCGAACAAGCAGCATCTCATACGAATGGACATTTTATTGCCAAAAAAGCCAGTTTGACGGCGAAACCGTCTCTGTCTGCGGATATTGTTGGGGGAAAGTACCTGCTTCCGACGCCACACGTCGGTACGACCCCATGAGTGTCCTTCGTTGTCATAAACACATTCCCAACATCGTTCGTCACTACAGCAGTATGTTGAGCACGTGTTGTGGTGCAACTCCGGTTTTCCTTGGGAACATGCTCAGTTCACGCCTCTTGATATGATGATGTCGACTACGTAGTAGAGGCAGCGCATACCATCGGCTGCAGGAGATACACGACCCCAAGACCGACCGTTTTTCAAAGGTCCAGTACTCCGAAACGACGAGGGTGCCAACGTCAAACAATACGTTTTGGAACGCTCTCGACAACACGGTCGGTCCCAACACCCACCATTTTCAGCACAATTAGCCTTTGTGACCCAGAGTAATCGGGACTTGTCCATCCCGGGGTATGTGTGATACCTCACGCAACGTAAGGTAAAAACACACACACACCTCCATGGACTTCCCGAAGGTCGTCCGGATTTCGACGTGAACCCACTCTCCTGTGGCGTCCTCCCAGCTCAGGGTATCGTCCATGCCCTCGACTTTGTCGGATTCTTCGTTGTTGAAGCGGACGTTGATCCCGTTGTTGTTGGCCGTGACAGAGAACAGGGGGTTTCCCTTGAGCTGGAAGCCGCCCGAAACACCCTTCATCTGACCAATCCGGGTGGAGGAGCCGGAGACCTTCATGCCGTCCTTCGCCCTAAAGCTGTACTTGAAGATGTACGCCTCGCCTTCAGGGTGCGGTAGGGTTGGTGAGGTGGACCGGGGGGGCGTCTCTTTGTGATACGCATGCCTTAGCGGTTAGACCATTGATCACGCGTCTTCGAGAGGACGGAGCGTTTTCCCCACAGGACCGATCACCGATGACCAATCGTTCCTTCCTACCTAGCCAAAGGTGGCGCAAAAATACGTATTCCTTAAGGAATCTTCCTGCATCTACAGTATCTCCGATCAAAGGTGGCGCTTACATTTCGGTTGCGGTGGATGACACTACACGTCCTTTCCAAACGCGGTACGCTGCAGTCTGTAAAGTATAAGTATGGGCGTGTATCGTTATTTGCGGCAACCTAACGATAGGCGCCACTTAACCGGAGATAAATGTAGGACACTTTAACCCCACAAATAGACCACCAAGCATGTGTCTGCCAAGAACGGTAGGCTTGCTGATGCTCGCCTGTCGCTGCCTAGTCACCCGCTCTTGAGAGAGCGACGAGATTCGTTTCAATCGAAAAGACACCTGGACGCAAAGAAAAAGTTAAATCTCAAGTCGAACGTATTTATCCGACGCTGCTTTCGTAGAGCCATGCTGGAGCGGGGCTTACCCTTCGCGAACTGGAAACCCCCGACGCCCTTTTGCGCCAAGACTTCTGCGCGCTCTTGCTCCTTGGGAACGATGAACCTGGTGAAAAAACGGGACCGAACGGGTCGCACACCGTACAGGATGACATTGTTCTTGCTAACATGTTCCATGGTCTGGAACGGAAGGGCCATGGATCAAGCACGCATCACGTCACGGCCAGAGGTTTTGAACAGCCAACATGGCGCCGTTCGGGATTCTTCGTCTCCTTCACACTCAATGTCGGGCGCGCGCTTGCCAAGATCTAAACGGTGAAACAAGACGCACTTTTGAGAGAGAGCGTAGGCAAAGGTCGATTCACACCCTCAAACACGCACAGTGTCCAATGAAAGGCAGTCGAGGGGAAAGCAGGCCCCACAAAGGACCCGAGCCGACCCCGCAATGGGGATCCATTTGACAGACAACGTGCAGCACACAGAAACTCCTCTTGCTCTGCCCATACATAGCAAGCGAAAACTGACAGCCCGCGAGTGGTGGAGAGAGAAGGGCACGCGGACGGTTACGCTCACGGGGGTGTCTGTTCGTGTCGCAGAAAGTTTTTGGGCCAAGGCGGGGGTGTGAGCGCGGGGTCCCATAAAAGCGCGCCCGCTCGTGTTTCGAAATGAACGACCGGAACAACGGAAGTGTTCTTACTCTAAAGTGAAACAAAAACGCTGGTCTATCCATGGGATCCACAGCGAGACAGAAGGCAGCGTCTGCTGTGTCGGCGATCGGGGGAGCTTATCACTTGAGACATGAGTCAAGCTTTCTGTACATGGCACTATATATTAAAGAGGCAATGGGTAATGCATTTAGGCTACAGATCGAAAGGCTACGGCGAACCAGGCGAATGCCTCGAGTTCAATGCATCTAGACTATGCATAGATTTAAAGGCTATGGCAAACAATTACCTCGAACAAGGCTCAGCGTCCGTGCCGGAAGAACATGAGACGAGGGTTCCTCCCCGAGCCTGGACCTCCACCAGGGAGCCGGCGCCGAACATACAGTTCCAGTCGATCGTGCTGCCGCTGGAGGGCGGGCACGTGGTGCCTGACTTTGGGCACTGTCCCGTTTGGATGGGATGGGCAGGAGGAATGCAGGCACACGAGACGGCGGCGGCATTGGTCCCGCAGACAAACGGGCGGAAGAATGACACAGAGGGTCCAAATCGGTTTGCCACGGACTCTACCCGCTTTTAGTACTTGCACTCCGGTACAAGAGTGGACTCCGATATAAGAGGGCGAGGGCCTTTGTCACACCACGGTCTTATACCGCAGCCACCACTGTACTTCAAGACGGGATGAAATGTGGGTCTTCCCGGCGGCGAGATTAAGACACCGCGACAACAGACTATACTCACACTGCCAAGGGTGAGGCACGTGTCGATAGGAGGGTCGGAGGTAGGGCTCGTCCGGATGATCCCGTTCGGTCCCTCGATCGAGATGTCCTGGTAGATGACCTCCTGGTCATGAACCTGCGGGTTTGGATT